TTTTTTTCTTTCTGCCGTACGTTTCAATATTTAGTTTGTCTATTTTCTTATTACCGAGTTTAATTCATTCCGGATGTTTTTATTGAGTATAATGTTCAGGAAGTAAATATATCAAGGAGTTCCAGATAGTAAAGGAAGTATGGAACTTCAGAGATTCATTATCTGTAATTCTTCTGCAAGTAGGTAAAATAGCCATCAACTAATCTTCTACGAAAACCAGTCTCCCGTAGAAGACCCCATCTCTTACGTAGCTTTTGGAGGAGGTAATTTTGTAAAATTCGATTCGTATTCCATCAAGTGTATAAGTTACGTGAAACTAATACAATCTTATTGCAAGTTTAAAATTTCCTTATGAATGTAGTATAACAATTATAATGAGATTTCCTTTTTAAATTGATATCATTTTTATCATTTTATCGTTAATAACAATCCTTAAAAGCAAAGTATTCAAAACTGAGATGTACGCCGTAGAATATTCTTGTTCCATGTAAAAGTATTTATGTCTTAATGTCTACATCCTTCCATAACACTTAATGTCAAGTTTTAGATGAAAATTTATTATCACGCGTTTTTTGTTTATTATTTATTTCATTATGTATGTTTATTTTATTTAAGCATAATTTAAAGATTCGTCTAATTAATTTTTTGCAATTCTAGTTAAGTTTTCAAAAGAATATTGCTTGTCATTTAAATAAAGGGTAATAATTTAACGTCTTATTTCAGAACATTATAGATAATTCGGGATTTCTGCTCCTGGTGACAATGCACTCTCGGAAATAAAACTCTCACTTTTGACGATTCAGTGATCCTTATGCTGTATATCGTTAATTTTGAAAATCATTTCGTCACGAAATTACGTGATTTGTGACGGAACGCGATCTCTCAAATCTATGACGAAAATGTTTCTTTAACTCGAAACCTCATCACAGTGCATTGTGGGTGATTGTTAACTAAAATGACGAAACTAGAACGACGACTAGATGATCGAAACAAGATCGACAAAATATTTGTTACCTTTTGACGAAATTGGGACAATAGTTATTTCGCCCCTTTGACGAAATGTTCGAGCTAAGCATATATATACCAACAGACAGTTTCGTCATCGCGAAATTTGTGTATTTATATTTTACAATGTGCTCTTGAAAATACAATGCGAAAATTTTCACGAAACAAAATTGAGAAAAGATACTGAATGAGTGGCTTAAGTACAATATTAAAAGATGTCGTTTGAAATAATTTAATTGCATATTTAATGTACTGTATGAAATAATACGTTATTGGCATAAAAACTGCGTATTAGTCAGTACATAATTCTATTTAACGTGTAGCATATTTTTGACAAAATAATTCCAGTATTAATGAAATATAAGTAAATATTTGCACTAATTTTTTGTAGTCACGATATAAGGACATCACGTTATAACGTCCGTTTTCGTTTCAGCCACAGGGGTAGGTATATCAAATGTCGACTATATTGTTATTATCTTTTTTACTTTCTGATTGCATCAGTCTAAATTTTAGAAAATCCATTTTTCAAAAAAAATCTATGATTTGCAGGCACTGACAGCTACAAGCGTGAAAGATTTTTAATAAATCTTTAAAATTAAAACTTCAACAAAAGATTTTTTTCTTAGATTGAGCCCCAAAAGATTTTCTTTACTTCGATTTTCAGTATGATTTCATTGTTGCTGTTTTATTAGTTCAGTATGAAGATTTGAAAAAAAATATTATATAGTTATTATTAATTAATAGTTTTATCATTTTAATTTTTTCAAAAATAAAAGAGCTCCGTGTTTCATCAAAATTTTGCTCTTCCTTCTATAATTCATGAAAATTTTGTTTAAGTGATTCGATAAAGTGTTCCTTTAACAAATGTTTAACTATTTTATTTTCCTTTTCTTTTCTTTCTTTTTCTTTTATTTTTTAAAATGGTAACAAATTGTTATATGCAGAGTATTACGGAAAAAGTAATTCTTGTTTTGAAAGTAAAAAAGGATAGAGATCTATTTCCTATTATTTCGAATTCAATTACTATGCATTAAGAATTTCTTTAAGTTTTTAGAAAATTAAAATTAGTCTCAAAGTTAGTTTTAAATTTTTTTCCTGACTCATAATCATAATAATAAATAAATAAAAAAATATTCTTTTCCGTAACAATTCTTTGAGTCGGAAATTTGGTTGGAAGATCCGATTCTGAAGATTTTGAAACTCCATAAACAATAAAATGGGAAGAAAATATCATAAATCATATTTATTCCTTCTAGCAATTAGCAGAATTTGTGCAATGAAGGAAAAGAAAATTCAAATCACATTTTCTCTTCTTTAATTGTGTCAAAAATATAATTGGTCGAAATCTACCCAGGGAACTAAATTAAACTCATAATAATCAAAAGTATCGAAGCTAAAGCAGTATCCAACAGAGTTAAGCGGATTCCAGCTGCGATTCAACCCGTACGCAATGACTGAAAATTGCAAATCATACTTCTCAAATGATTCCGAATAAATTTGATTCATTTTTTTTCTGGTAATTTTTATTTTGAAGAGTATGATATTTTTAGTCAGGTTCAGGAATTATTTTTCCAATTTGAAACTAAACATTTTTAAGGTTTACTTTAACTCTTTATGACCGTTGATTCAACAGCTGATCGTAACTTTGAACCCAGTCTAGAGGACTAGGGAACTCCAGGATCGAGTAATGAGAAATTTTCCTTCGTAAAGAAATTCCGCATTTTCGTTACATGAGAAGGAAAAACGCGAAAACCTCCAATTGTTAGCCTGATGACAAGGGGAGTCTAACCTTTGATTAACAGCCATCGCTGGGATTCAAGCCCGGATCACCTTATTGGAAGGCGGGCACTCTATCCCCCTAGCCATCACGTCTCTTATTTCAGCACTGCTAAATTAGAGCTCATTAAAAATATATGGAAGATAAAAATTATTCATTGATTGTGATGGTTTTCATTTAAGTGGAAAACTCTCACCAAATTGGCATGTTTTTAAAGATATTTCCACTTTTTTTTAAATGTGTAAGCGTAAAAGATTTGTCTGTTTTAAATTTCATTCAATGTCTTCAGAAAATAGCGTAATTAAAATTTTGCATCTAGTTAAAAACGTACAGAGTGTGACTTATTTTCTTTGGGGACAGGGCTCCGAGACACGTTCTTAAAGTATAAGTCTTACTCTATTTCTTTGGAAATAACTAAAAAAAAGCATTCATTTACTAATAATTTCAACAATGTATTCTTCGGTAACACCGCTGCAGTCAAAATTGTTTTTGCGAGTTGAACTATAATTTCGTGTAAGTTTGCAAAAACCTTAATTGAACCATATTAACGAATGGTTACACCAAATTGGAACGTTATAACAGTTCAAAATACTCAATCTTTAATTAATTTTTCTGAAAGTTGTATTCAATCATTATTCATTAAGCTCTTTTCCTAATTAAATTTCCTTATTACTGTTATAGTGATATCACTCCGCGACTTTTAGAATATTATCTTATAACCTTCGCCAAATATTCTTAAAATTCACTCCGCGACTTTAGCGATATTCTTTTTGCCATCAAATATTTTTAAAATTATGTTTTGCTCATAGTTCCTTAATCAGTTATAAATCCCTAGATCCCATAATTCTTCCCACAGTGGTTTGAAAAGATTTTATGATAAATCTTAAGAAGTATAGATGGAATCATGGGTCCCATAATAGTTGAAGGTTTAACGGAATAAAATGATAAGCCAGACTTTTTAAGAGTTAAGTTTTTACGTTTAACTGCTGCTTAGCACTGTTTCCAAATGGGTAATTGATAAATCTTGTAGATAACTCCACAATGCATAGAAACATCTGATCACCTACTGAAAAATCATGATTTTATTCCTTAAAAAAAGTTTTTCATCAATTTCATCTCCTAAACAATTTGGAAAATGTAGCTCACCATTATGAAGTCTCCTACAATTGCCAAAAATCATCATCTCTATAAAAGAGTTATATTTTTTTCGATATTCATAAGAAACAGATCGATAAAAGTTTAAACCACTTTTTTTGTATCATAAAATAAGTATTTCAATACTTTATGTGTGCATATCGCTTTTTCAAAAAATTATAAAAATCTTAATACTTACAAGAAACGTAATAATCTATAGTTTCTGTACAGCCATTAAAAACGTAGCCTTCTCCTATTTATTAAAATGTATGGCTTTTCTATTCTGAGCAGAATTATCCCTATTTATTGCGTGATCCTCTCTCTTTTATCACTAATAATCAATACGTAATAATCGATAGTTTCTGTACAGCCATTTAAAAACGCAGCCTTCTCCTATTTATAAAAATGTATGGCTTTTCTATTCTGAACAGAATTATCCGTATTTAATGTATGATCCTCTCTCTTTTATCACTAATAATCGATACGTAATAATCGATAGTTTCTGTAAAGCCATTTAAAAACGCAGCCTTCTCCTATTTATAAAAATGTATGGCTTTTCTATTCTGAACAGAATTATTCCTATTTATTGTGTGATCCTCTCTCTTTTATCACTAATAATCGATATGTAATACTCGATAGTTTCTGTAATCCTCCGTCTCCTATTTATAAAAATGTATGGCTTTTTTATTCTGAACAGAATTATCCCTATTTATTGTGTGACCCTCTCTCTTTTATCACTAACAGAGTAATTAACAGGTCCCTTATCATCCCTACTGATAAATGGTATCAAGGTATTTGGATTTCGTTTTAATACCTAGCTATTTTAAACCAGGTTACCTTTAAGTGTATCGGGATAACATCTACCAAGTATGAATACAAATTATTTTATGACTAACATATTATATTTTGAGTACAAATTAAAACAAATATTTAAGTGTAACGTTCCTAACTGCTGCAAAGTAGGTAATTAAATTTATTAATGATATATTTTCCTGACGTTTGTTAAATTTTATCTGTTTTAACACTAATAATGCAAAGTTTTAATTATTGTTTCAAAATTCTTCTTCTTCTTTATATATAGCTGGAAATATGTAGATGACTTTAAAAAGAAGGATGTAACAATGGCAAGAGTGAAACTTCTGTGAATCATTTGAAAATGTTATTCTTAGTCACAGTCATTTTAGGCTTGCTTTTCATAAGAATTGACGCTGAAGAAAATGAAACTTTGTCAAGTTTAATCATCAAATCTCCTGGTAAAATATAAGAATTTTTCTTTAATTGCTTAATATTTTTATTTTAATATAATTATAATTAATAACACCAGCTAAATTGTGGTAAAAAAGTATTTTAAAATATTTTGTGAAAGTAATAGCTTTGCTCTTTTCTTCCAAATTAATCTTGTATGAAAAATGCAGATCACAATTTTATTACTATAAACAAGTTGCTCTTAATATTAAAAAGGCAGCATGATTCTTTATTTTCTTTTTTTTTTACCTTGGTAAAAATAAAAAAATTTTGTGCATCCTTGGAATTAATAAATAATAAAAACTTTGTAGGCATACAGATGTATTTTGAAAATGACTAAATGTTTCAAAAGAAAAGATCTTAGAAATTCTTCTGAGGATATTTAGTGTTTTGTCTTCATCAAAATTAATTTCAAGCAGATGGTTTTAAAATAAGATAGGAGATGGCAGCATTATTTGTCTGAATCCAAAATATGCAACTAATTTTCTCACTAGATGGCAGCACTACTAACTCTTGAATGAGACTGAAAACATAAAGCTGCTTACTGAAAAAGCAAAAACACGTTACAATAACGTTTATTTTGGGATAATATAAATTATGCGCAAATGCTTCGGTTTTTTCTTTAAGGTGGGATCGTTTTTGATGGAATTTAATATGGATAACATAATTATTTTCAAAATTCAACCTATTCTTTTAAAGAAATCGTTTAAAATTGATTCTATTGAATGCTTTTGCCAAAACAAAAACAAGACATGTTGTTCTGATGTAAATATTAATAACCAATATTTTTACTTTGACTAAACATTTCTAAATTGCTTGTTTGAAATCAGCATAAAATAACATCAAGGCCTGAATTCTTATTCATGGTGTTTCATTAATCTCTCTTTTGTGCTGCACTTTTTAAACCTTGTATTGTATTTGCTTATGACATTTTATTATTTATAATTGATAAGTAATTGTGCTGTATATATTTTATAATCGTTTAGCAAGTTTTCATTTTAAGATAATTGTTTAAAAATACACATATGAATAATCATTTTTATTTATGTACCATTATCTACTAAAAATGATTGCCATAATTATGCTCCAATAGCTAATCTAATTGCAGTTAAAAAAAACTTCCATCTATTCTAATAATTGATTTATTGACAAAATAAGGTGTCGAAAATGCTGCACATAGTATTCTTTATATTAATTTTTTATCGTAATGAATTTAATTATTGGCACTTTAGTTGTATGATAATGATACCAAGTAATATTAAAAACATCACAAAATGCAGGTGTTAAGATTTGGTCATGTTGTGTTTACTAAATTCATTTTAGCAAGGAATGAAAATACTCTGTTTTTATGTTGCATATATATGAAGAAGGGGATATGTTAGGGTCTATTAATATTAATTTCACTTTTTGCTTATTTCGCCACATCATGGGAACTTTTAAAGTTAATAGAAAATTTTTTGCCGAAATTAATTTTCACCATCCAAAGATGATTTCTTGTAAAAAGTTTCTTTAATAATTATTATTTTAATTTTTTAATAAGTGCCAAAAAATTTAAAATATTTTTTCATATAATTTTTCAATATATAATTTTAAATGTTAAATGCAAAATTTGAACATAAGTGATTGGACAGATCTCATGTTCTTAAAACTTAAAAAGGCAACTTTTACATTTTCATTAAACAATATCATTCAACATTTTGTAATTTAATATTATTACATAGTTTAAAATGAATTAAAAATTTTTACACTTTCTTATTTTCATTTTTTGATCATTATTAAATAGGATTATAAAAACTAATAAACATTTATTAAAGATTATATTGTATGAAGAACTAACGTATAATAGATAAATTTATAATTGTGTGCAAAAAATTGTCAACTTCTTTTAAAGTTCACTGGATAAGACGAAATGTATAAAAAGTAAAATAAACTTTAAGGGGCCCAAACATTTTACTGTTCTGGTGACTAATTTACTGGGACTATATTTTCCAAATTGCAGTTACCCCCAATATTTTAATGGTCAAAAGTCAAAAACTATATTAATTCAGTAAGAGCATGTTTTTTGTGTCTGATTCCATAACTTAATTAATATTTAGAACTAAATTACCTATTCAAGGTCAACCTTTTGACCGAGTAGATTAAAGATTGAGTTTCTAGTATTTGAAAATCTTATCTTTAGAACAAAAGTTATAAAGGGTGATATTTTTTTCTTCTTATGATTCACTGAAAACATTGCATAGCTAAGTTATTTAGAGTTGTGAAACATAAGATTTAAGAATATTTATTTATTGATGTTAAAAATTCAATTCAAATTTTAAAAAATAATTCTAAATTTGTATCCTATTTACACATTTAATTTAAATGGAATTTTTAATTATGCATAATTTGTGCTGTTAATTCAATCCACAAATTTATATTAATACACATCTGTATGCTTATTTAATTTAAAACGTAACTAATCTCATTTTTTTAAAGACTATCCTTTTTTTTTAATGAACCTTTTTATTTACCAAAATTATAGGATGTTTACTTTATACATTAAGACTTTTTGTTGTTTATTGACACAAGACTGAAGAAAACGACTCTGTGTGGTCTTACAAACATCACAGGCACCCTGTACCATACAAATTATTACCTCTGAAATCACCACCCCCTGGAAAAGTTTCAATAAAATGTTGTTGTTGCAATTTGATCAGACTAAAATTCTTGGAGGTGATAAATTCTGAGAAACAGTGGAACAGAATTGTGCTATTCCCAAGGTTGACACCCCCCTCCCTCTATCCTGTTTCATATATTTTTTTTCTTTCTCTCTGAAAGAGCTTTAATTAATTTGAGCGAGAAAAGATTTGAATAGAAAAAAAAGAAGTAAAAGCATTTTTTTTTTCATATTTTGACAAAATTTTTTCATAGTATATGAAATTGGTGAATTTTAAGTTTTTCTCAAAAATACTTAAAGGTGTGCGGCGCCACATTCACCCTGTGCCTATGCCAATGAATTTCTTAAAATAAGCTCAGCTTTATAGTTCTTATAATTTGTTTTATTAGTTTTGTGTCTGTTAAATGTTAAAAATTCCACATACCTGTCTTTGTAGTTATAATTTTTGCTTTGTTTCATAATGGATAAATACAAAGTTCAAGTATCATTTAATGTAGAAGTATTTTTAATTTTTTTCTTCTTTCATTTTTATGGAGGGGGAGGACTGATCTGCAAGAGCCCTCCTGTTTTCAAACATCCCCCCCCCACCATTTGTTTGCTCTACACATGCTTTGGGCTTGATGTTAATCCTTGTAATTACTAAATATTTTATTTACGCTGCCAAGAATGCAATTTCCACCATTTTCACTTGATGTTAATCCTTATAATTGCTAGATATTTTATTCACTCTGATAAGAATGAAATTTCTATCATGGAGGATCCACCATAGGGGATCACATTTTTTGGTTCATGGCCAGTTTACCCTTGTCCATGTTTCATCAGTTTCGATTGAAGGATACATTATTTTTTTTTATTTTTTGAACTAAGAAGGAAATACAATTGATGCTCACTAAAACAACCATTATCATCCAACTGAAAATTGTCATATAATGTGGGATCAATATGTATTGTGCATACAAATATGCTATAACTATTTACTCTTGCATACAAATATGTTATAACTATTTACTCTTAACTAAAATGTACTACTGAACTAATACTATACTTTATGAAAGATTAGGAAACTATCAGAATAATTTGTAATATCTAAGTAAAGAACAACTAAAGCCTTTGATGTGTGTTTAGTTGTCTTGTTTAGAAGAGCTAAGGAAAATTTTTTATTTTAATTAATCCAAACCATCAGAAGTGATTCCAGACAGAAGTTGAATGCTGAAAATTAAATAGCTATTATTTTTCTATTATGTGTTTTTTTATTATTAAATTTACAAAATTAGTTCTGTGAAACTTACAAAAATATTGATGTGTTAATATATTTACAGCTTCACCAAAATTTAGAGATGAAAACATTCCTAATTATTTTGAAGTACCCTTTGGACAAAAGGTAAAGTTTAGATGCCCTGTGACTGGAAATCCAAGACCAACTGTTGAATATTTATTTTTGAATGGAAATGACTCCATAAAAGTGAACACATCAGAAAATAGGAAATTCAGCAAAAATAGCTTGACAGTGGAAAATGTTTCATTTTCAGATGAAGGCATATACTCTTGCCGTGCATTTAATATTTATGGCGAAATATCCAAGAACTTCACCCTAAAAGTTGTGATAGAAAAAGGTATATCACTATTTGATAAAGAAAAAAAATATTCCTTCATTTATTTTTGAACATTGTAAAATTATAAGACTGTAATACATTTAATGTGCTTATATTTCATATATAGTTTATTAAATAAAGTTAAACAATGAATAAGAGCATATGAAAATAACAGAGAGAGACGTGATTAATAGTACCAAAGTAATTATCTGTCTCCGTTAACTTTTTTACTTATGACCTGCAAGATTTTTGTTAATCTAAATTTTTTCAATTGAAACCAAAATTGACAGTGCTTATCTAGAATGACTAATTGCTAAACATTTTTAAGTATTGAATTCTAAATAGTTCGAAGTTAATTATATTTTTTTATGCAGTACAACCTTGAAAATCCAGACTGCTTAGGAGTTTGGTAGGTCCAGATTTCAGAAAATTCCGGATTTTATATATATTTAAGTTAATCTAAAATAATATAAAAAAATTGTGATTTCCTTACTAGATTAAATTCTAGTATGACTATTTTAATTTCGTTCCCTCAAAAATTGGGCACCTGTGACACCCATGTTTTCAAGATTTTACTGTACATATGTTAGCATTTCAGTGGATCAAACTATTATTTATCTACTATACTTTTATTATTTATATAAAATAGTTTGAAATATTTACAAGTTATTTTTGTAGATGTTTATCATCAGGATGAACCAGATGAAGATGTTTTTACAAGGACTCTTAGATCAGGAGAACATTGTATGTTTTTAAACTTTTATTTTATAAATTATATTTCATTTATGATTAATCTACTTATAAAAAGAAAAAATGATTCTATTTTATCTGACAATCTGTCATATAGTTTTACTATTTGGTACGTGATGTTGTACAAAATTCACTATGTTACCACTTGAAAGATTTTTTAAATCAGCTTTTTACAAACAAAAACAAAAAAAATTCGAACTTAACTATTAAAATTTTTTGCAATTAAAGTAATCAAATGGTAGTTTTGTCTAATAAGGATAAAAAGATGTAACATTGCCTTAACTAGAGTAAGAGAGTCTGGCATTAAGCAACTTTTTCATTAGAATCATAAATATAAAATTAAGACAAAGAGTCAGGCTTGCTTTATATCTTGCTCTTTTTGGTGTTTTGAATGCATCTGGCCAAATTAACTAATTACCGACATTTTCATAAACAATAAATCCTAATCTAACTTTGTAGATAAAAAAAAAAAAATGGAAACTTTGATTCACAGTTTATTATTACAAGTTTTAAATTAAAAACATTTTAAGTCTCTAGTTCAGTTTAGAGATTAAAATTCTCCCAAAAACCTTACAGGGCACTGTACAATGAGGGAGCCTCAGTTTTTCAGCATAGACCTAAATAAAAGAGAAACTGTTTGGCTTTTGCCTAACACAACAACAAACTGATGCTCTTTATTTGAAAAAATTTCAAGTAATCCTGTGCCCCTTGGAGCATTATTGTTTGACCTCATTCAGTTGTAAATTTCAACATGATAGCAAATTTTGATTCTGAAACACACTAGATTAATAACTCTTGTAAGTTGATGACCTATGTAGTTAAATTACACATTCTTTAATTCAGCAACTCTATAATTAATTTCCAAATTAGCAATTATAAGTTGTTCCTTTTTTATAAGTAAAAGTATCTAGGTAAACTATCAAAGTGTGACACCATAGGCAAGCTTGCACATTATGCACTATTAATATAAGCCAATCAACAGTTTTATGTTTTCCCCTAAAGAATGTAGTAAAATACATTTCTCTTCATTTTTTTAAATGTTAATAATATTTCTAAATAATAATAAAATAATATGTCTAATATTTTTATTAAACAAGATGGTTTTTGTAAATTATTTTATAAAAACACAAGATTTTTTGCATTGATTAATTCATGTAACTATTTTTTATAAAAGTTAACTTTTTATTTATTTTTGTTTGTTTGCAGGCAAAATTAGTATCATTGGACTTACTTAATCTCAACAGCTTAATTTAAAATTAAGATTAAATTTGAATTTTCTTTTATATTTTTCATTAATGTAATCTATGCATTTGTTACATTAAAAACCTTTGATTTCTCTTGTAATTTATACATTTAGCAATTTTTTAAAGGTGCTATTATATTTTTTTAGTAAATAAATTTTCATTACAGTTGCACCTTACTTTACACAACCTTCAAAGATGGAAGTTACACTATTGGCTCGTCCTGCTGGATCTTCAGTTGTTTTGAAATGTCCCTCAAGTGGTAAACCATTGCCAAGTATTGTGTGGAGAAAAAATGCACAAAATCTTATACAAGATTCAAACAGGCGTGTAAGTTGTTAAGATTTATGAAATTCCTTCTGTATGGCTATGACTTCTTTTGTCTTAATAATTGGCTATATTTAATATTTTCCTTAAATTCCGAAAAGGATTTCTCGCTATTAATTTTTATTATAGGTAATATCAGCTCAGTGTTAAGTAATACTAATGCTACTTTTGGGTTCTTAAAGTATTTTTTGATAATAAAAAAATTTGAAACTTGAACGAATATTAAGTCTTAATATATTTTATTCAGTACTTTTTGTAGTGTAGTTGAATTGTCAGTTAATTTAAATATCAGTTTTGAAGGATACAAATCTTAGGTAAGACAGTTTATTTCATTTTAAGTCATTAAGCTACAAAATATTGATGGAAACAGAGCTGTATTATGGTAAGTATAATATATTACTTCTAAAGTGTACTTTTAGTATATAATTTTACATGCTATTTTATAAGCATGAGCAAATTTATCACATTTATACAAAGCCCATACTTTGTTTGACGATATTTGCATTTTTTGTATATTTGGACACTTTTCCTGGTTTAGGACATTTTTATTTTATATTTCCAGAAAAAAATTTTCAGTTTCTAGGACTTTTTTTATTTTAAGACAGTTTGTTTAAATTTTAGAGCACTTTATGAAATTTTAAAACATTTTATGAAATTTTTAGAAGTTCGGACTGGCCTAGAGCAGTGGGCAAGGTTCGTGTTGTCTATAAATGGTAATCTCCCCCAAAAGATCCGGTCCTGGGATCTGAATTCAAAGCCAAATCTAGCGCTCCATTTGCTTGCTGATTTTAGCAGTCAAACCAAATTATCAGCTTCATTTGGTTTTGATTTATATTTAAAAAAGATTTTATTGTTCATGTTGTGGCATCAGATTTGGATAAAATAAATATATCTTGGTTAATATAAATGAAGCTCAATACTTTTTCTTTTTATTCGAAATTTATATGATTAAAGTAATTTATTGTAGTTTTTTATTGTGTGTCTATTTTTGTATGTATCTTAAATAAGTGACTTTGCTCATTATCTTCATTAAAAGATTCACATTTTTTATTTAATGATATTTTTCATTTAATCAAGAGAAAGAGGTTATGGTGTAAGGGACTACAAAAGATCTCAGGATCTCATCCCTTTATTGGCGACCGGTGAGAGCTTCATTTTGAATGATATAGAGATCGGTGCTCCCATCAATGGAGATGCCAACATAGACCATCACTCCTCTACTGCCAAATCTTACACTTTCATTCACAAACGTAGGATTGTTTTTAGTGCCATGTTCCCTCCAGATGAAAATACGCCTATTATCAGGATGAACAGAAAAACAGAGCTCGTTTTAGAACAGAATATTGTGCCATTCATTTCTCTAGTTCACATGCTCTGTTGCCTACTTCCTGCGGGTACGGCGGTGCCTTGCTGTTTACGTGGCACACACCATTGGTCGGAGAGCATACACACCTACAGCATCAAGGTGGTTTGTGTCAAAACTGTGGTACCAGTAGCCAAGGGAAGGTGTCGTTAAAGAAGAGTGGCATTTATTTCGGTGTCTCCTAGCCATTAACGTTAAGTAACGGTCTTCATTGAGTGTTGTTGAACACCTACGCCCTTGCCCTGATCTTCGGTCTGCATTTCCAGCCTACAATCAATGGATCCAGATCCTGGAAATCTCACTTTGTGAATCTCCAATGGCTTGTGTTTGGCCAGTCTCTAACTGGCCAACAACTCTTAAAGTATCTGATTCAGCTTAATGACTTCGTTGAGAAATCACACTCATCGAAACAACACGCTTACTCAATGTTGATCATTATTTTCCGCTTTGTCTTACATTAAGTTGAAAGCCAAATCAAATTTGCTGCTGTTAAATTGTCATCTTCAATGTCAAACTCAAAATTTGCATATTGCAAAGTTTGAAAGTAAAAAAAAATTGCATTTGTGACTAATTTATGCAACAACAAAAAATTGCTTATACCATTATTTTATACAAGGCTTACAATATCTTTTAATTGTTTTGAGCCAATATATATATATCATGAATATCATATATATATATCATGAATAAGTATTACTTCACAATGCATGCATTATGCTAAATGGATTTTTTCAGTTAAGCTAGTTATAAGTTTTAAAGTTTAAATATTCAGTTGAAAAGCAGTGTTAAGCAAATTGAGACTTTGTTGTAAATTTTTTATAGTTTAAGTGATTTTACCAGGTTTTGGATATTCAATGCTGATGGCCTCCAGTCTGAGTAGGGATATATATAATTTTACTGATGATTGTTAGATGGTTATAACTGTGAAATTATTAGTTTATGAAATTTGTTGAAATTCTTTTAAAAAAATTGCAAAATAATCTAAATGTATTCATTTTGAAGGGGTTTTAATGCATCATTGCCCTTTATAAAAATGGCCTTTGTGTTTTTGTATAGTACAATCCTACTCTTCCTTAATTTTTGCTTTAATCAGCTACTTTCACATCATTTGTATTGTAACTCCTACAAGATTCCAACAGTTGCTTAAAATTAATAATGCAATTTTTTTTCAACCCTTGGCTGATATTGAAAGATTTTTTATACCTATATTTTATTTTATATACTCCTAAACTCTAGATTGTGAGTGTATATATGTCTGATTTCTGTTTAAGCTTTGTAAAAACAATGTCCGCAATGTTTTGAAGGGAAACTTTATTTAGTTTTTTTTCTTTGTAATTAATTTTAAAACAAGTACTTTTTTATAGCTTTAATACCTTATCTGTATTTTCTTATCTTATTGTAGTCTTATAATATGTAACTTACCTACTTCTTATATGGAAAATTTTTTGGATTAAATAAAAGATTTTCTTCTTTCTTAATTGTCTTATAAAGGAAAACAATCAATTGGTATTTTTCTCTCATTTTAGATTCAATTTAGGAAGTGGTCTATGATCATAGATCATTTAATTGTTTCTGATACTGGCAAGTATGATTGCATTGTCTCCAACAGTTTGGGCTCCATTAACTATACCTATGAATTGGAAATTCATGGTCAGTTTTTGTTGTATACTTCTTTTTCAGAAAATTCATTTTTATTTTTGTTTAATACATTTTTAAATATATTATGTAAATTGCTTTAATTTTAAAATAATTGTGGGCATAAAATCAGCTGTCTAAGATTTTTTTTGCTATATTTCTATATTTTTGTTGTATTTTATTTTAATTTTTGATGAATTTTGTTTATTTTTCTGTCATCCAGGTAGGTCTGCATAATTTTCAATATCTGTACATAAGCTTTTGAAATTTTTCCAAAAATTCTCTGCTTATCGATGAGAAGAAATTTTTATTTTTTTTATTTTATCATAACTTAATCGAATTCATTTTTCCTAAACAATATTTAGTTTTAAAAATTAATGCTTATTTTGTTAATGCATATAAAAAAATAATATTGTCTTAATAATGACAATAAACACATTCAAAATTACAATTCAAACAGGAAATTTTTCAAAGAGACTATTTTTTTTTTTCGTAAATAATACAAATAACTTTAAGGTTCATCATTGCCCCCTTAATGTCTGTTTGTCTAAGTTTCTTTAATAAAAAAATTAAATGACTCAAATTTTAAAACAGCAAAATGCCGAAAACTTGAGTATCCAGATTTGTACAAAATATTTGTTCCAAAAAGTATATTTATTTTGCTAGAATTGCCATGAATAATAGCAAATTAAACTGACTGGAAGTACTCTAAATATAATTTACAGTGAAAACTTGACTATCCAGAATACACAGAAATCTCTCGTTCCTGCATATTTCGTTTTTCTGCTTGTATTGCCCTGTTTTTCTGATCCCATCGCAAATACTATTTTTATAATGCCCATTTAGATCGTTTTTGAGAATAGAGATTCCTACACTTATCATTCAAAAGTTTTACCATCATTTGAAAAAAAATTAAAGTTATTACATTTGGAGAAGAAAAGCAGTAACTCTTGATTGATAATAATGAAGAAGAAAATGAGAAGATGTGACAGTTTCTGTAAAATTCAGTAAATGTCACATTTGATGCTAATGCAGCACAAAGGAAAAGGGAGAAACTTGTGATAATGGTTTAAAAAAAATTTGCAGAGGGTAAAACTGTGAAAATGATACTGATGAAGACAGTAAAATGGAACTTTAATAAGTGTTAATACTTGTACAAGGCCTCTGAAACAATGAGAAACTTTAAAATTAAAATTTCTGTAGATATATTTTAAATAAATAATTGTGTTTATTAATTTTTTGTCATCATTTGATGTTCTACTCTATATCAAAAGCTGACCAAAAAAGAAAGCTTTTTACTGTAGATTAAATATTTTTATATCAGAAGAATTGACTCCATATTGAACTAAAAAAAATTCTTCCTCTCCAAAAATTCTAGTTACTTTCTTTTTTTATATAAAAAAAATTTACTAGATATTTTTGATTGAGATTTTCCCAAAGTTCTAACTTGAAGAATTCTGGACAGTCCATTTTTTACTAAGAATGGGTGGGGGAATTGATTTTACACCATATTTTTTTTTTTTTTTGTAAAAAATGCTTTATAATAAAATTTTCTATAACTTCAGAAAATTCATTCAGATGAGCTACCTGGTTTGTCCTTCTCCAGATAATTGGGCTTTTGCTGTTTTTTTTTTAAAAAAATCTTATTACAAATATAAATGATTAATCTCACTTAACCTCTTATTTTTTTCATAAGTTACTTGTTTTTCTAACATGTTTCTTTATTCATTCCATTATTTTTATTAATTTACTACCATTTTTTGTTATTATTTTAAAAATGTATTTCTTTTTTAATAGAACGAATACCCCACAAGCCTATATTTCGTGATGGTTTTCCTGCAAACCAAACCGTTCATCTAGGAGAAAGAGCTAGATTTGAATGTTCTTTTATATCAGACCTGCAACCAAGGTTTCGGTAAGTTTTAATGATGAGAATTGGTTTTAATTGGATGTTTAAGATTGAATTAATTATAGCTATGTATCGCATTTTAGACTGCACTAACTAGATTATACGATATTACAATTAATGTGAAAACTGTTTAAACGAATTATGCGTTTCTAACATAGGAGCTACCAGCTTTCCCAGCTCTTAACTATATTTATTAATAGTTTAACAAACAACAAAAAAAGCTGTGAAAGACAGTAACTTTTTTGGTCAATGTTTAGAAACGATGGATAGTCAAAAATGCTACCAATCCCCTTTTGTATGATCTCTCATCAATTAATGCCGCCTGACTAATTGCATGTAAAACGGTGCAAACCTACGTGTGGATCTGGAGATTCCTCAAACGTGTTCATTGAAGAGAGTGAGTTTTAAGAACCATCGAAAATTAAAAAGTTGTTGATGCTGTAAAACGTGATTGTGTTAGGATTTTTTTTTTTTTTAATTTTATTATGAGAGTATTTCAATTTTAACTTGCAAGTTATTTATTACTTCAAAATGCATTGAAATGATCAGATCTCTTTCTGCTTGAAATTTGTTAATCTTTTTTTTCCTAATAATTATTGTGTAGTTGTTAAATGTTTGAGCATTAATAAGTACTTATAATTTATTTACCAAATTTGAACACAGCGAGCGGAAAATAAGAGGAATAATCATGTGACTTAGGAAACGATTTTTATATCTTTCTGTACAATACATTTTGTAAGTTAATTAAATAAATTTTTTTCTTAAAACTGTCTAATAAAACACGGATACTAATAGTCGTTATTGCTTAAAATGATATTTACCTGTATCTCTTATTTAACTGTATTTTTATTTTAATTATAGGAATAGTTAACTATCATATATTTTTTAACTAGTATTATGCTATGTATGAAAGTGAAAGAAGGGTAAACTATTATCGCAGCAGCCCATTGAGGGCCAAGGAGGTTAAAACTCTGCAATTTCGTGACCAATGGCATGATTATGGTAGTATGTTAAGTACTGCTCACAGGCAGCCTTTACTTCTCAGGCAAACTAATAATTACGCTCTGTAGATTAAACTTATTTCAGCTATTTTTGTTTTAAATATTTTTTTAATTGTGAATGAGAATTCAATAAAATTAATTGCGTTCATTCAAGGTATACAATAAAAATTTTTGAAAAGTAAATAATTGTTTAAAATTCTAAAGTAGTATTAATTGTTAAATTCACGTTATTGATACATGGCCTCCTTTTACGATTGTGGCTGTACAATCGGTATAGCGTACAGACTGCCTTTGCTATCCAGACAAATTGGTAGTTAAACTATGTATTTTATTTTACACTATGTATCTTATCTATCAACTTATTTTTTTCGCTTGAGCTTTTTTTTTCTTAAATAGTAAATGCTATAGATAATAGAAATAGAAATTCTATAAAAGTAACTATATTTACTCAACCTAGGGAAATAAAATAATGAATAGTAAATAACTGTTTAAAATTCTAAAATCTATAATTAATTTAAAATTCTAAAATCTATAATCTATAAAATCTAGTAATAGCTAAATTCGCATTATTATTAAATAACTTTTTTAACAAAAACATAACAATTCTAAGAGTGCGATCAGCATTACACACATATAGCCTCTATTTTCCAGAAAATTTATAGTTACGTTATGTACATTAAACTTATTTTGTCATTTCAGTTAATTTCATTACTTTTTTCTTAAGTAGTAAATAATTTTACAACAAAAAGGTAACCATATTCACTCAATGTGTGCATTTAAGTAACTATAGAATTCAGGTCTGTTTAAAATTCCTTTTGATGTTAAGAACAAACATTCATTCTTTATTTGGGTTGTGTGAACAGGAAGACCATAAAATACTTTCATGATGCTATTGTAATGCAAACCGAGTATACATTTTTTTTTCTTAACGTCTTAGTTAATTTTTGTGAAAACTGTAATTTGCACTATAACCAATGTAAATACAAAATTGTCAATGGCATAATCCAAAAAACCATTACAGATATTCTAAGAGTTGAAACGTTAGTATTTATGATATTAAGCATGACATAACATTTAGTATAACGACAAAAAAAAATTTTAATATGTACCATTCTTAAAAATATTAATTGTTGTTTACAATGATAATAATCTTATGAAAATCAATCATAATTTTCTTACCTTATTAAATATGATGGTCAAACAATACTTATAGAAATAAATGCGATATTAAAATTTCGATATTTACAAGGAGCAGAGATGATTGTGCTACGGAAAAAAATCCGCGATCTGGAAGTTTCCGGAAATCTAAGGTCTAGAAGTTTCAAGAAATCATTGATCACATTTATGTCTAAAAATTCTTGTATATTTTATTTAGAAATATTAAAACTAGAATTTATACTTGGCATCTTTTATGTTTGTAAATATTTTTTCTTTTAGAATAATAAATGTAATTAGGCATAGAAGTAAACTTATACATAATTATTCATTTAAATTATGCTGTATATAATGTATTTAGAATTTCATGTTTTTAAAATATCAATGATTAAATTTATGAAGACATTAATTTTCTTAAATGCATCATTAATGATTTTAGTTGAGAAATTTTGTGGATATTTGAGTTCGGCTCAAAATCATCCCTGATAGAGAAATATGTTATCATTTACCTTCCAAAATCATTAAGCTTATATGTATATTATATATTTTTTTGTAATTAAATTCTAAATATTTTTTTACAAAACTTATTTGTTCTTCTTAGCAGAGAAATTTCAAAATTAAAAACCATTCAAGGGTAAAGCGATGCCCTTTTTATCAGAAAAGTTTAAAAGAAAAGCAATGCAGCTATAAAAGGAAACAAAATTTCTTAGAATCTCTACTTGCCCCACTCCCCACATGGAACTGTTGCTAGCCATTTAATTGATGCTGGGTGTGAGTAGCCTAGAACTCAGTGCAAGGCAATAGCCCTTAAGAATAATTTTTGATTTTATTAAAAAGAATAAATAGAATTAAATGAATTACCAATGGATAAAAAATTTGATTGATTAAATTCACCAGCAATTTACAAACAATTGTAGTAACTACAATTTAATACCCATTTTTTTACTCCAATTTACTAAATTTTCTAATATTTAATTAATTATGCATTTTACTTGCATGCATATTTGCTATTCTATCCTGTTTTAAATTATTATAAGCTTTTTTTTGATTTTGAAAATTATTTTACTTTAGCTGGTTACGCCATTACAAAGTAAATGGATCCTTTGCTGACAGTTCCGAAATTCCGTATGTGGAACCTGTTCAAAGTACTGATCCCAATGTCACTGATCCTCATATACTTATATTAGATAATGTGACTTATGAAGATCAAGGATGGATTACTTGTTTAGCAGGAAATTCTATTGGGGTTTCTTATCGCAGTGCTTTTCTAACAGTTTTACCACGTAAGCATGTTTGCACTCTGAAAAATATAATTCATTTTAAGATGCTTAATATATTTACTTTATTTTATAAATATTTTTTTTATAGCTCCAGATGAAACAGTTGCTGAACAGAAGCCTAATCTTTTTGATTTTCGAAATCCCTTACTTGTTGCATTATCCGTAACCTTCTTCTTAATCCTACCTTTAATTATTATTGCCTTAGTGTGCATATGCAGACATCGATATCGAATGCGTGCTAAGGAAATGAAGCAAGTTATTGTGACAAAAAAAATAATTCTTGAGCATCGACAAGATGAAACTAATTCACTAATCCCATTTGTCAAAATTGATTACAATGTTGTAACAAAAACAGTTGGTTGCACAGATGTTCCAGAATTTGAACTGCCGGAAGATCCAATTTATGAATTTCCAAGAGAGAATATTATTTTAGGTAATTTACTTGGGGAAGGAGCTTTTGGACAGGTTCGCAAAGCTATAGCTCATGGCATAAACAAACCTGGAGAGCCAACTACTGTTGCTGTTAAGATGCTGAAACAAAATCATGTTGACAGTGAAATGGCTGTACTTGTCAAAGAGATGGAAGTCATGAAAAATATAGGGAAACATCTTAATATTGTTAGCCTCTTAGGATGCTGTACAAAAGGAGGTAAATTTTTACTTAATCAATCAAAATATGAACAAAAACCTTAATATTCTAGCATATTTTTTTTTTTCAAATTCTTTTGCAAATTTTCATCTCGTCATTTTAAGACAGGCAAGTAAAATTTACTCGTATATTTAGTGGCCTCTCACTTAAATACCAGTCTAAATGACCACTTAAGAAATTATATTTAATGTTTTGAAAGGGATATTTGAAAACTTACTACTTTACTTTCTGAATTTAAAATTGCCAGAACAATAATCTTCAATGGAAATGTTTTTTTTTTCTAATAAGAATGTCCTTTTATTTTTTTTAGAAACTTTCAACCAGTTTTTTTAGCAGTCCCAGGTGGATGTATGAGCAAGTATAATCTTAAGGATTATGTTAGGAAGAAATAATTAGGTTTCAAAAATTATATGATTATATTTATGATTTTATCAAGAAAAATGAAGTAAAAAAATTGTTAAAAAGATCATCCATGTTAGAATAGAAATTTTTTAAAAATTCTTTTAAAAAATATTAGATTTTTTTAAGGCTAAAAAATTTATTTTAGTATTGAAAAATGATCTGGTAAAGCTTTTTTTAACCACTAGAATTTCCATTTAATTTTTATCATCATATCTTCTTTTGATTTTCTGTTTTAAAATTTAGCAAAGCTATAAAAACTAAACGCAGCAAAACATCAAGAAAAAAGTCTTCAACTTTTTCAAAGCACAATTGAGAAACAAAAATACTTTAGTTTATCAAACAATGTGTGGAGACAAAAGCAAACAAAATGAAAGTCAACATTAACATTAAAAAATAAAAAAAAATAGCAGAATTAGAAACGTCTATTTTGTGGTCACTTTTTAAGAATCAAAATAAAAAATTTTCCTTTCTTGAAAAGAAATCCATTTTTTAAAAAAAACTCTGATCTATTAAAAAAAGAAGTAGCAAAAAAAATTTTTATTTCTTGCTGATTTTTCAATATTATTCTGTTTCTCACTATAACAGTTGTTAGATAGATAAGAGCAGTTAAAAGAAAAATAAACTTTGGTGAGAGTAGTAAACTATGAATATTAATGAAGCTGAATATTTAAAATTTTATGTTTCAAGCTTTGTTTACCGTTAAATTATAAAAGTTTTCACTAAGGGGGATTTATTCAATTTTGTTCCTGTTTTATATATTTTTTTTAATAAATTGGATTATTCTATTTTTGTAATTTGTTGCTTTATTTTTACTGCTATTTTCATCTGATTATCTGGGCGGCTAATTCTTCACATCAAGAGGGGGAAAAAGGAGAGCGAAAAAAATTTGTCTTTATTATGTGAAAGCAGAAGTTCAAATTATCTTATATTTTTTATTTTTTACTATATATTCTATCATACTAAACATTCTTTAGTTAATTAAATGTCATTCAACCTATAAGAAAATGATGTATGAGATTTATCATCTATTTGCTATTTTCTTATTGAATAGCGTATGTTTTAATGTTTGTTTACCTCAAAGACCCCATTATCAAGAAAAAATCTATTTTCTAGACTTGCCAGTCCCTATGATTCTGGATATGGAACTTTCCTCTAGGTTTAAATCATTTTAATTTCATTATTAAAATTATGACAAAATATTGTTGTTAATATGTACTTCATTTTTTATGAAACTTATAACTAAGCTAATGCTAGTATTTACAATGAGTGCTCAGAATTTCATTGATAATTTAAAAAAATTTCTCAATTATGCTGTATACCCTCCAAGCATTGAGCCTCCTACGAAATTGTTGTGACATTAACCTCCTATGCACTTATTTTTTTCATTGAATAACAAGCCATCAGCTTAATGTTTGGAAACGCTAAGGACAGAGGGTTAAGGAATTTAAGAAATTGCAAAAGGTGAAGGCTAAAAGAAACTGGAAAAGGAAATTTTTTTTTATTCTTTAATTTTTTTTGATTCTTTAATTTTTTTTTTGAAAAAAAGGTAAATGTTTAGTTATGAAATGCTGAAATGGTCTTCATCTAGTTAGAATAATTTTTGCTATCAGTTTTTTATATAAATTCTAAGATGTTTTATGAAAAAAACATTTTTTTTAGGCCCTCTATATGTTTTGGTTGAGTATGCTTCAAAGGGATGTTTAAAAGATTATTTGCGTGCTCATCGCAATCCAGATGGATATCAAGAGCCAATTGGAATTAATGGTGAAACTCCTAAATCATTGACTTTAAAAAACCTTCTTTCATTCGCCTATCAGTCTGCAAGAGGCCTGGAATATTTAATTTCAAAGAACTGTATTCATCGGGACATAGCGGCCCGCAATGTTTTGCTTACTGAAGATGGCATTATAAAGATTGCTGATTTTGGACTGGCAAGAGACATTCAAAACAATGACTACTACAGAAAGACAACAAGTGGTATTTTGCCCATAAAGTGGATGTCGCCTGAATCCTTATTAAATAGAATTTTCAGTCCAGAAAGTGATGTGTAAGTTTGAGTATCTATGCCTCCTTTTTAACTAATTAGAAATAAATTAATTAGATATTAACTAATTAAAAATAAACTAATTTAAATTCATTGCTATTGCTGTTACTTCTTTTCCTAAAAATTGTTTTTTAATATTTTTTTCCAAGTGTTCTATTAAGGAAAAGTAAGTTAGTGTATTTTTCTGCTCTAATATTCCAAGAAAAATTTATCTTAATATGTTTTAACGTCTCTCACACATATTTTTAATTTTCCAGATGGAGCTATGGTGTACTTATTTGGGAGATATTTTCTCTTGGAGCTTCACCCTATCCAACAATTCCATATGAAAAAATGTTCCAGAAATTGAGAAATGGCCACAGAATGGCTAAGCCAGATCAATGTCCTTCTTCTGTTTATGGTATAATGCTTGATTGTTGGAACTATGAACCAAAAGCAAGGCCGAATTTTCAAACTATTGCAAAGAAATTGGATAGAATTTTATTAGATTCACTGGAGGAAGCAAATCAGGTTTATTGTTATTATTATTCATTTTTTGTAAATTATTTTTCTTTCTTTTTAAATGACATATCCTGATTGTAAATAGTCTTATCTGAACTAATATGCAAATCACACTTCTATGCGAACGCTAATATGTTCTGATGTGTACTCACTAGATCTGAAACCGGTAAAAAGTTGAAACATTTCAGAGGAGAATTTAAGCCAAATTATTTTTCTTCATACTCAGAATCAGGCATATTGTTTTTAAATTTGATATTCTTGAAATTTTTCTTGTTTTCATTTTCTATATTATTTGTCTTTTAAAATATGAATGAATAAGAAATAAAGTTTTTATAAAAGATGCTTGATTTTAGTGGTGGATCAAGTTTTTAATTATGAGAATTAGCCAGATTTTTAACTATCATTTCCTTGTAAAATTTAAGATATGTTTTGCATGTATATCTAATATACTAAAGAAGTGCACCAATTAAATTTTGTGTACTTCTCAGAAAGTGCATTTCTTATGATGCAACTAAAGGTAAATGAATGTAAAGAATTCAAGTAATATAATATTTTAGTTACTTTACATTATCTTTTTTATTAATCAAATTTATTTATTACACTAAATCAAATGTTATCAGTATTATATAATTATCTGATGCAAAATATCATAAAAATGAAGTTTTCTTTCACGCACTGATATCCATAAATTAAAAATTTCACCTCATTAACTGTTATGAAAACTGCATTTCTCCTAATTGTAAAACACCTAAAAGATATTTATGCTCACAAAATTTATAACAAATGTGATAAACAAGCCAAGTTAAATTCTTTGATTCCTTTTAGAATAACAGTTATTTAGAAAATGTTCGAAATATGACATTATCAAGCCTTATTGTGAAGAAATATTTATACACTTTTTAAAGCTGATACTTATCACACCTCTATATAAAAAGAGAATTACAGTTTAATTATTATTTTTGGAAAAATAATTTTGAAATTGTTGTTATCCAGAAATGAAACAATCCTTAAACTTTCTATGCTTGCCATAGTTGGTACATATGTATTTTGTGCTGCTAAAAATGACATTAATTCTTTATAAAGCTTTAATTCTGATATTTCAAAATAGTTAAACAGTTTTATTATACAAATATATTCTTATTTTGCATGGAAAAAAAATTTTTTTTCTTACACAAAATTAATTTTCTGAAATCTTAAAAGAACTTATGTAGACTTAAATAAACTTCAAAATAAACGAGTAAATGATAAAATATGATAACATTTATAACAGCTCACAGTGAACACAGAAAATAAAATTTGTTTAAAATGTTCTAAAGCCTACATTTTAACAATTACTATTTTCTTGTATCCAATTTTCCTTTTATTTCAGTCTTTTTTCTTAAATATAAATTTTGCTTCATTTTTAATGACCCATTATTCTTAACAGTGTATAAGAGTTTACATTTTTCTCACTGGCTGCCTTTAAAGAAGTTATTGTCTGCAATGAATGTAACAAGTTCAATGGCTGTTTTGATACATACATAGAAAATGTTTCCATGAAAGATTTAAAATTGGCTTAGAAATAGAAAATTCTCAGATTTTATCATTTCATATAGAATCGATAAATTTATATCCTGATTTTTAAATTCTCATGGAAATAGTTTTAGTGTATATGTTGCAGGTAGTGCATGTAATGAATTCTACTTTGCTGTAGACACATTGTAGAAAAACTAAAGGTTTGAAGAATTTACACCACTATATTTATTTTGTAAAGATAACTGTCCAATCAAAGCATAGTTAACCAACTAAATGTGCTGTAAAATGATATACTGTAGAATCTCCTGTAGGAGATCTCTAAATAAGGGATACCTTCTTTTTCAAGGATAATTGTGTTGGTCCAGTTCCCTTTATATAAGAGCCTTGATGAATTTTCCTCTTAATAAGGGAAAATCTACTTAAAGAACTTTGAAACATATTTTCAAAATGTAAGATAGAGGTAGATAAACAAAAATAAATATTGAAATACTCTTTTTTATCCAAATGAAGAAAGGATTGACTTTCTTTTATACATGATTGAAGTTTAAAAAAATAAGAAAGAAGAGCATAAATAATGCCATGTGAACAGAAATATTATAGTTTCAGTTCTATGATAAGGAACTGTCCTCAGTTTTGAAACAGAGAAATTCAGAAAAAAATTAAAAAGCTACAACAAAGATCAAAGGGTGAGAGACTGATAAGGAACATGTTTGTAGGAGATAATCTAATGAAAGCAATGAGGTAAAACACAGATTTGGTAAGGTTAGAGTGAGAATACCTGGTGTTGCAAATTTAAAGCAGAATAGATTTTTAAATATTTAGAAAGAATCTTCCATTGTCTGTATGTCTATTCCTCCCTTTTGATGATTACTACTTTTAAAGAAAATTATATAGTATTAGAAAAAAAGCATGTCATGTTTTAATAAAAAAAATATTTACATTTTAAGAATTTTTGGGTATAGAGGAGGGAATCGAGCTATGTATATTTAGTGGTAAATAAAGTGTTAAAATATTTTTAAATTTCTCTCTCTTTTCGCAACAGTTTATATATAATTTATTTTCCATAGTGATAAAAAATTGATGCATTCCTCTCTCCCTTTTTTGGCTTTACTTTTTAAAAAAAAATAATAATGATTGCTCTTAACATTTATTAAATGCAAACTTTTCTATCTCTCATACTAAGATACTGCAAAATCATTTAAGTAAGTATTTTCAGTGATAAAGCCTTTCTGTTTTTAACAGAATACGAATACAAATAAAGATTAAAAAAAGCCATATTTATAATATTTTGGAACAAATTAAGAAATAAAATAATTCAGTTTAATAAATAATAAAAAAAAACAGAACTATTAAATCCCTTAAGCATGTTCAATAGTGTCAGGTTATTCAAGTGAGGCAGCTGGGGTTTTTTGGGGGTCTATATACCTTTACTTTTTGCTGTTTTGATCTTTTTTATTCATCACACTAAATTATCAAAGCAGTTTGTATGAGTTTCATGAGCTATATTTAAACAATAATCTAGTCATTATATTTGCTAGTTTTTAACCTTAATGTATATTTATACATTCCTTTTCTTAGTAACAAATTCATGCATAGTAAATTAACATAAGCTGTATTTTCAGGTTTATTTGGAGTTGGATTTTCCTGTCTTATCTACGCCTGAAAACAGTACCTCAGGAGATGTACACTGAAATTATTTTGTATGACAGAAAATGTTTTTTGTACTTCTTCTTGTACGTAGAAAATGTTTTCTGTACTTTGAATTATTCAAAACCTACTTGAGTTTATATTTAGGTCTTGATTTAACTTATTTGAAGATTTGTTTAAACAGTCAAATCATTTGTCCTGTGCTTGGTTGTAATTACTCTAGAAAAAAAATTCATCATGTTTGTAGGTTCATCAGTTGGTTATAGTGATTATTTTTATAAGAGATTCAACATTATGAAATGTAATATTAGAAAACAGTTATGTGTTGAGCTCCGGCAAATGTTTTGTATGAAAGATGATGATTTCAGTGATGGCCGTCCAACATTTTTTGTAAATTCAGATATTTTTCTGATATTAAAAGATATTCACATCTTTCTATCAGCTTTATGCAATTTTTAAAGCATTGTTCTTAGCATATTGACAAACAGAGGATATATCAGGGTTACTATTTTGACAAATTCCATTTTTTTTTAAATAAATTTAAATGGTTAAGAATTTTAGGAATAGTTTTGATCTAATCAAAAATAAACTTTTCCTATGCTATAAGTTAAATTTTGTAAAATATCTAGAAATGTTTTGTATACCAGCTCAAAGTGTGTAATTAATACAATTTAAAAAAATTCAAAGGCACTATATTAAAATGAAAGTGTTCATAAAACTTTTTTTTATCTGTTTAGTTTTTAAAAAATTATAATGTTTAGCAACTTTTAAATTTCAGGAGAAAAGTTGGATTTTTATTTTTGCAATATATTGACAAGATAGCTCATGATTAATTTCTGTAGTCAAAATGAAGTAAAGATTCCATGTAATAGACATGTTTTTAAATGTCTAGTGACTCTTATAATTGCTAGTTTTGTTGAATATTTTGCAACTTTTTGTCAGGAATCATCACATTGTTTTAACCTTTACATTTTTTATTTTGTTTAAAACTAGGTGTTTTAATTTTTCTTTTAATTTAACAATTTATTTTACTTTTTTATGTATATAAAAAGATTCATAATGTTTGAAAAATTTTTCTAGTAATGAAGTAGTTTAAAGTTGCATAAGGCTGATAGTTAATTTTCTTTTTTTGGGTGAAATAATTGAACATTAAATGTTTTTTTTTTTCATATTTGTAGTGAATGTAACAGAAGGACTGTCGATTGTAAAAATATTTTATTAAATGTTGTAGATATAGCATGATTTTTAGAGCAACTAATAAATTTTTGTTTTGTTAATATATGTATAGTATTTGTAACAATTTCATTTACTTGTTTGATCCAGTGAAGTATATTAAACCTTTAAATGCATTTAAGTTGTTGTAAATATTTTCTTTTACCTTTTTTTTAAACTGATTGCTGTACCCAGTTAAATTTTTTACTTGTTCCAATTTAAACCAATTGGAATTCAATAATTAAAAGAGATTGAGAAGTTCTGTTTTCTTATATCATTTGTAAAATACCTTAAACTGTCATTTATCCTTACTACAAATAATAAATACTTCAGTGCCTTTGCATTATGATGTTCAAAAGAATGCTAGAATTGAGATCACTCATGAATATTTTTAAAAAAATTATATCTGATTCATCAAAAAAATTAACTTTTATAATTAATTAGTTAACTTTTGTACTTTTTTGCATCTTAAATTGGGGTTTTAGGATATTAATACTGATTTGCCACCAGTAATGAAGTTATGGTACTTTTCTGGTTGCGGCAAAAGTTTTTTGGAAATTGTGAAATATCTACTTACTTTAATGAGAACCACTAAGTTTCTACTTTAGAATCTTCTTTTATTATTTTTAAAAAATCTACTAAAAGAATTTACTGTATTTTTAGTTTAAAATGTACCATAAAAATGTATTACATAATGTATGTAATTTTATGGCTGTTGAAAACATTAACACTGCAAGGACTCCTATAGAATATTTAGGAACCGGTTTTAAAAATTGTTAGAACTCTCATATTAAAAATGTAAAGTGAAAATAATTTACTTCACAACAGCTCCGATCAAACTTATACTCCTTAGAAATGTAAGGTAACTCTATTTTACATCATCAAACATGTCTTGCCTCAGTTCCTATGTTTCAACTTTTTTTTTCTTTGAATTTTCCATGATGTTTAATTATGTTAAAATTGTAATTTCTATATTTGCTTCATATATAAATCTGCTTATTTTACTTACTTTTAATACTAACCCTTTGAGTATTAGTCTCGGGTTTCTCCAAAACTTCAGCTGCAGGCTTTTCTGCATCAAAAACTGGTTTTTTATGCTATTGAATGGAAAAGGTGCAGTAAGAAAATTTCTGTACAATTTTACTTAGGAGCTGAATACTTGAAAGGTTAAGTACAAAAATTCAAACAATTACACTTCCCAGGAACTTTACTGTTAGTTCAGCCTGAATAATGCAGCAGAAGATGTTATAGAAACCAGTTAAACTTTCTAAGCATTTTTCATTAAACTGCTTCTTTTTGTCCAATATTGTAAATGTTTAAATCTTAATTCAATGAAAAAAATTCCATCACTTTGTATTGAATGATATTTCTTGTTAATGTTAGACAGCCTGTATTGATGAAGAATGTATACATACCATATCATTAAATTATATCCATATAATATATTCTGTAACTTAGACACATCTCTTTCTCATTCTTATTTACTGCTGCCAAAGTTAAATTTTTTAACTTTATGTGTTATGTGTATAAAAAAATTTCATACATCAGGGTGCCAATTTTAGGTTATTAATTCTTTGTTTGATTAATATTTAATCAAATTTTGTTTTTAACAAGAAAAAAGAAACAAATTTCTTTATAATCCTTAATTTATAAAAAAATTATATAACAATGATAATAAACAATTATAATTACACGTGCTTCAATTTTAATTCAGTAATTTAATATTCCAAATTATATACAGTACAAAACCCGTTATCCGGAAATCAGAAAACCGGAAGACCAAAAAACCGGAAAGAAATTNTTTGTTTGATTAATATTTAATCAAATTTTGTTTTTAACAAGAAAAAAGAAACAAATTTCTTTATAATCCTTAATTTATAAAAAAATTATATAACAATGATAATAAACAATTATAATTACATGTGCTTCAATTTTAATTCAGTAATTTAATATTCCAAATTATATAATTTAATTTTATTTATATTTAGTATCACTCACTGTTATATTTTCACTATTATTCTCAATAAATTTATTGCTATTAGAATATCTGTAATACCAATAATTAAATCTGAAAAAATATAAGATTGTTGTGCCTATTGTTATAAATTCTGTAGTTATACTGAAATTCTGTTAATATTCTGTAGTTATACTCATTTAAGTGACAAGAAAAGTGAGTTCGAAGAAATTTGAAATCTCAATTTTTATTATATCATTAAAAATCTGAAAATTTTCTCATTTTATTTTCAGTTTCATTGTTCAAAAAATTACTACATATTGCCTTTTACCAGCATAAATTTTATGTTCTGATGAATTAGTAAACTAATTTTTTAATCATTAAAAAGAAAATTTTTCTTCTTCAAATTTGTCTTTTCATTTTATAATAACTTGGTTTAGTTTACAAATTTGAAAATTATTCACAATTTGTTTTTCATTTGTTTAATTTCAAAGGAAACTAATCCTTTTTAGCAAGAAGCAATTTTCTTGTCATTCTTTTTTTAATGTTTTGCTCCACCAATTTAAAGTTCTGTTAAATTTGAGAACTAGTTATGTTATAAAATTTATTTTTCCTTTACTATAAAAATAAAAAGATTTTTCTTTTTTTTCTGTGTTTTGTAGCCATTTTAAGCAATATTAACATTTTACTACCAACGACTTATTTTGCTTCCAAACTCATTCACTTATCATTCTTATTTAATCATGGATAATCCTTGGAAATAATTTATATTTTATTTTGTTTCTATTTATTTTATATTTATTTTTGCTACTAAATAATGAAGGATAAGGGATAGAGAGCCAAAAAGTGGTGAGTCCTAGCAAAATGATTTTATTTTTCAGTTATTTTTTATCATTTTATTTTAATATTTTCAAATTGTTTCAAGCAAATATTTATGTTCAAAAAATTCATTTTGACCAAATATTTCGATATTTTAAATTTTTTTTTTAAAAAAAAGAAACTGTAAATTAAAAACTTTTTTTTTTAATTGTAAGACATACACACATTTGCATATATTACATTTTACACCTTTTTAAACTGCGTAACTTAAAAAAATACTGAATTGGTCAAATAGTTCTTAAAAACGCAAAATTTAAATATACAAGCTTTTTTGAAAATTTAATCCTCAGAAACCATTTAACCATAAATGTTCGAACTTAAGTGAATAAAATAAATGTATATTATTATTCATTTTTTTAATGGGTTTTCCTTCGAATAAACAAATTCTATAACTGTGTGCAACTTTTTTCGATTCGCTTAAAGAAACCTCCTTGATATGGCGACTTACGTAGAAATTGAAATTAACATTCAGGAGCTCAAACTTTGCGATTGCCTTCGATAATTTGACGGCCCGAAATTCTTAAAAACCTTGGTACAAATGCTGAAATGTTACAAACCTGCAATCCACTTAGAATGAAACTGGCTCGAGCTTGTTTACTGAAAAAAGTTTTTGGACTAAAAAATTTTCATAAACTTATTAACTACTTTTAAACAAACGTTTGATTCAGATATGAAGTATAAAAAATGTTAATTTATAAAGCATGAAAAATTACAGCAATCTGCTTTTTTTGTTCGGTGCTTTTGCTTTGTGGGGCTAACACTATTTTTAAATTATCTTTATTTAGCCTAAGATTTTTTAGTTTCTTTTAAGTTTTTTAGTCATCTAGTTTATCCAAAATTATACCAGGCGTTGAACGTCGATATAAAAACAAATTCCTAAACATAACGGTTAACGAAAAGGGTTTATGATTGGAAATCTTACAGACTGAATGTTGTTGACAATACCGCTTCGACATTTCTCTTTCACATTCAATTCTAAAGTTTTCTTTTCGTTTTTTATTTTTGCTGATTAGTGATAAAAAAAAAATAATTTAATGACTAATTTTCTTATTCAGACATAGTGGCAAGATTGCAAAATTAAGATTTTATCCGACGTAAATCTCGGGCTCTGACAGAACCTGACTGAGGCAGGAGCTTACGGGGCAGTTGCCCCGGGCCCCAAATCGAACAGTAAGTTTATTTTAAATTTCCTTCTGGAATAAACTTTTTTTAAACATAATATCAGCACAAAATCCGTCCAAAGCGTTTAAAATCCGTCAGTTTTATGTTAGCTTCTTCATTAGTCTATCGTATGAACAGAAAAATCTATATTTCGTAAATCCGTGGCTTTCTAGGGGGGAATTCAATTAAATTTTCGCAATTACGATGAACAAATTAGGCCGGTCAAAAGCCTGTATTTTTACATATCGCAAAATGCAATGTGTTTACAAAAATACGGGCTTTTGATTGGCTTAATTGAGCCATCCTAATTGCGAAAACTTAGATGAATTCCACTCAGGAATATGAATTTTTCGCAGCTAGATGACAATCAGAAAACTGCATTTGGCATGATGGAACACAGAATTGTCAGTAAATCTATAAAATGGACAGAACGATATTTCGTATGTCCAGGTTCTAGTCAATTTTCTTGTTATGTTATCTATAATGAGGTGAAAAATTTAAATACCTCCGTAAAGTTCGATTCTTCATTACTGAAGGAGTGAAGCAGAGGAGGATCCCAATAAGGCTAAGTCTGGCCCTGGGCTCTAAACAATCCTATATATCTCGGATTCGGTTGAGCCGAGATTAAAATTCCTCAGGCTCGGACCACAAAAGCGTAATTGAACTCGAGGACTGATTTATGGGTCGTTAACTACTTCGTCTTTTAACTTGCAAGGGTCACCAAATACAAATTTGTCTTTTACTTTCTCATTTTGTCAACTCTTTCATATTAAGTATTTTAAAATGTGAAACATTTAATGTGAATTCCTTTCATTTCATAAAATTATTACTTAAACTTGATAAATAGTAAAATAATAAACCTTACAAATGATTTTTGTTGTTGTTGTTGTTAATTTACGTCGCACTAGAGCTGCACAATGGGCTATTGGCGACGGTCTGGGAAACATCCCGGAGGATGATCCGAAGACATGCCATCACAATTTTGATCCTCTGCGGAGGGGATGGCACCCCCGCTTCGGTAGCCCAACGACTTGCACGCGAAGTCGAGCACTTTACGGTAGCACAGTTTAACGAGGACCAATACCGCACACCCTCGGTCCCTCCGCAGACTGATCCAAGTGGGTCACCCACCCGCACACTGACCGCAGCCAGTGATGCTTGACTTCGGTGATCTGCTGGGAACCGTTTCTTAACGATCAGTCCACTGCGGGACAAATGATTTTTCAGAATGATCTGCTAGGTACTTCATATGAATATCTTGTTTCCTACATAATTTTTTATCATTCTCACCAACAACTCTATGGAATAAATTTTAGTACTTTTTCATAGTTTAGCTCAATTTAAATTTGAGTTTCTATACGTCGTACTTATTGATAAAAGTTTACAATTTGTTGTTGTCTATAAAAGATTATACGTCGCTAATAGCCCATTGTACAGCTCTAGTAACGTAAATGAAGGTTTACAGTTTGTTGTGTTCTAAAAAATTATCCTTTGATATCGTGATTAAAAACCATCAACCGAAACTTTTTAACTCTTTTAAGGTTCCCCAAGTGGTTTTATTCATAGGGGCACGAGATCTCCTCTATATTGTTGCAGTAAGAATCTATAGGTTACTACTGCATCAGATACAGTAAGTTGATACTGAGCCGCAATGACTCAGGGGACAGAGCGTTCGCTTTCCAATGAGGTGAGCCGGGTTCGAATCCCGGCAATGGTTGGTCGATACAGATTCCGCATCCGGCTTGCACCAACCACAGTGCTGACGTGAAATGTCCTCAGTGGTAGACGGATCATGGGTTAGAGTCCCCTTGCCGTCAGGCTAACCGTGGGAGGTTCTCATGGTCTTCCTCGCCATGTAACACAAATGCGGGTTAGTTCCATCAAAATGCCCTCCACAAAGGCAAATTTCTCCTAATACTTGATCCAGGAATTCCCTTGTCTTCTGGATTGGGTTCAAAATTTGGATCGGCTGTTCAACGACGTTTATAATATAAAATGAAAGTAAGTTGATACTCTTTTCATTAAGAGCTCATGCGATATTTACCTGTTGACCGTGGTAACTCATTGTAAAATTTAACTGCACCAAGTCTAAAAATTTCATGCTACACAAAAACGATTAAGAGCTCTAGGCTCTTTAGCTAAGTCAAGGCATAAACCTAAGAGCTGCTCTGAAGTTATTTGGGAATTCAAACATTTGGAAACCTTAGTCATCAGTTAAGTTCTCTATTGTTATTGGTTGAGGTATAAAACAATCGCTATCGGGATTATTAAAAAATATAAAAGCACTGAACTTCAGAGATACTATCAGCAATTACAGAGGCCTCCTTTACCGAGCGATATCCCTCGGTAAAGGACTTTGCAGCGGGTTCATATCCCGCCGTAACCCTGGATGTTATTTCTTGTCTTTCTCTGCATTGTACTATCTGTCTTTCTATTTGATAAAGGCTTATAGGCCTTACTCATGTAATTGAGCACACGAACCAGCGTGCATGTGTACTAATAAATAAATCAACAATTGCATAGGGGTCTCCCTAGCTGAGCGGTATCGCCCGCCAAACGCTGTGCAAAGCGTGGAGGTAGCGGGTTCGAATCCAGCTGTTACCCTGGATGTAGCTTCGTGTTGTCCTTCGCTGCATTGTGCTATCTGTCCTTCTATTTGACAAAGGTTTATAAGCCTAAATTGAGCACACAAACCTGCAAATGTATGTGATTCCAGTAAACAATTGCATAAATTTAGTGCAACATTCTACAAAAGTTCAAAAGACTCTGACCCAGCTGGATTTAATTATCTATTGAAAAAAGAGAACTGATTATAGACATGAAAGATTATAATTCAATGCCTGCCAACATCTCCTGATTTATCGGGAGATTTTTGTTACATATTTAGAATGGTAATAAATTTTATGTTTTATTATTGATTTTGTAAATTCAATTCAGATTAATTTTATTCTTCGCTATAAACAAGCAACTTAGATTTTTATAAAAGACCTGATAACCATGCAGTGAAATGCTTAAGTGCGGCAAAAATGAACTTATTAATTCGCGTAGTGAACTGATCGTAAAGACACGATTTCCTGTAGGCATCACTGGTTGCGGTCAGTAAGCGGGTGGGTGATTTCTTTGATCAGCCTGCGTAGGGACCGAGGAGGCGCGATATCGGTCCTCGTTAAACTGTTCTACCGTAAAGTGCTCGACTTCGCACGCAGGTCGTCGGGTTACCAAGGCAGGAGAGCCATCCCTCTGCAGAGGATCAAAATTATGATAACATGTCTTCGGATCATCCTTAGGGATGTTTCCCAGACAGTCGCCGATAGCCCTTTGTGCAGCCCTTATTTTTAGCTACCACTTTAAATATTGTGGAAAGCTGTTACCTCCGACTTAGTAATCCTATAACTTCTCTCGGACGGAATCCTGCCAAAATTCCAGGAGTGATTCTCTCGCCTCTATTTTAATTCATGAATACTCTCAGCGAAGAAATATATCAAGGGATAATTCGAATGTACCATCCATCGTTTTATACCTAACTTATCCCCCTGTCCCCGATTGCATAATGACTTTCAATTCATAGTCTGCCACTACATCTGCTTCCTCTCTTACACAGGCCTTCTCGATATTTTGTCTTACTGACAATATTTTCATCATCCACAGCCATTGACATTTCTGAAAGACTGACGCGTCCCCTTGGCGGACAAGTAGTACAGTACAATAACTTAACTCAAGTATATGAGAGATCATTAGCTCTCAATGGTTCCGGTTGCTGAGTAGATTGTTTATGAATAGTTATCTTTTAGCTAATTAATTTTGGGGATATGGAAAACCCAAAGATGTTCAAGAAATACTAGTCACTAANGTTAAACTGTTCTACCGTAAAGTGCTCGACTTCGCACGCAGGTCGTCGGGTTACCAAAGCAGGAGAGCCATCCCTCTGCAGAGGATCAAAATTATGATAACATGTCTTCGGATCATCCTTATGGATGTTTCCCAGACAGTCGCCGATAGCCCTTTGTGCAGCTCTAGTGCGACGGAAGTAAGATACCTTCTTAAACTCATTAAGTTAACCAAAAATTATTTTTAGCTACCGCTTTAAATATTGTGGAAAGCTGTTACTTCCGATTTTGCAATCCGATAACCTCTACTCTCGGACGGAATCCTGTCAAAATTCTACGAGTGATTCTCTCGCCTCTATTTCAATTCATGGATACTCCCAGCGAAGAGACAAACCAAGGGATAATTCGAATGTACCACCCATCGCTTTATACCTTACTTATCCCCGATAGCATAATGACTTTCAATTCATAATCTACTCTGCCACTACATTTGCTAGGCCGGGATAGCCTGATCGGTAGGGGGCTGGGCCGATGTCCGAGAGTTCGTGGGTTCGAAGACTCCTCGTGTAGTAAAGTGACTGCTGCACGTTAAATCTGTCGAGTCGCAAAAGTCTTCCATGTTCCCATAACAAATCAATACCTCTGGGGGTACTGGATTGGAGATCGATCGTTCTCTGATTCAGGTCAAAATTACGATCTGTGGTTGAATGGGTCCGCCCTGTAAACGGGTGCGACGTATGGTGTGACAGAAGTCGAATTCTTGGCCATAGATGGCGCCACTGAAAAACAATAAACGCACACTCTGCCTTAAATTTGCTCGTTTCACCAAGCAGGCTTGCCCGTGTGGCAAGTGACTTTAGAAACAACAACACAACATCTGCTACTTCTCTTACACAGGCCTTCTCAATATTTTGCCTTATTGCCAATATTCTCATCAACCACAGCCATTGACATTTATGAAAGACTGACGCGTCCCTTTGGCGGACAAGTAGTACTGTACAATAACTTAACTCAAGTATGAGTGATCATTAGCTTTCAATGATTCTAGTTGCTGAGTAGATTGTTATTGAATAGTTAACTTTTAGCTACTTAATTTTGGGGATATGGAAAACTCAAAGATGTTCAAGAAATACGAGTCACTAATTCTGTTAGATTGATTCCGTGTCGGTAACACTAGCAGATCGATTACTGTCGCTTACACTGTCTGGATTACGTATTTCCGAACACTCAATGAGGCCTCAAAGATTGATCCGTACTATAAACCGCCGGTCTGAAGTTGAGTAAGTAAAAACATTCAAAATGTCAAGTATTTAAATTTCTAATACTAAAGTTAATTGTAAGCGCTTTTCGTGAATAATTTTTTTTTAAGATTTTATATTTACTAAAAGCTTTATTATTTATAACTTGATTTTAAATTTAGCAAGCTCAATGTGAAGTGAGATTTTGTTACTGTAATTTATTTAAAACAAGAAACTTTACATTGAATATACAAAAGAAAATATTTTAACTTTGTTTTGCTCAAAACTGAATATTTGCCTTTAGATTGATTATGAGATTAATACCTTTTCAAAGATCAAACACTCTTGGAATTGGAATTTTTTATTTATTCAAATATAAAAGTATTTATATATCTTGTGGGGAGAGTGGTTACAGACCATGTCAACCGTCATCTATGAAAAGGTACCCCGACATAGAGTCGAGTTAACATGTCTTATATACTAGTGAAATGTGGTTGTAATTTTGTAGTGGTAGATACGCTACAATCTTTTCATTTAAGAAAGCATATTTAAAATAAAAATAAATAATAATAATTTAAATTTTACTTAATTTTATTAAATTGGAACTAAAAAATAATCATAACATTTTAGAAAATATTTAAGAAAAATCATTGTTTTTCTCAATTTTTTAAAATTTATTTTCAAAAAATCCATTATAAGGGGACCACTAATCATTGATTCACTATCTTTAAGTATAACTGATATTTTTATTTATCAAATGCATAAAAACAAAAATGAAGGCACTTTGGTTTCCAGTATACTAACTTAGATTAAAAACAAAACATGTTGGATGAAGACACATATTTTGTGTGAAGTACAGTAACTCCAAAGGGGTTGAACAAAATAATAGAAATACTTCTATACTTAATTATTTTCTCGCATTTTTTACGAAATATTTAGAGTATTTCCAGTCTTTAGAAGTATGCGATTTCGTAGACAAATCAATAAAGTTTAAAGCTTTTAGAGGTTTGAGGGACCAACAATAAATTACAAACGAAAAGGATTGTTTTTGGACACCCTATGCCAAAAATATAGCGATAAGCTTGTTATTTATATCAGTTTGGTTTTCATATGCAATAAATGCACATAATTTCATAAACCTGGTTTAAATACTTATGGAAATTTCTATAAAAAAACTAATTTTTTTACCTTGCGTTTTCTTACTATAACTGCAGAAATATTCAATAAAACTAAACAAAATTTTTAGTAATTTTTATTTTATAAAAATGCCAATTTATAATTTAAAAAAATTCGTTACAAATTGCTTAAGATTTGAGTATTTAAAGTAATCCTTTCATATTGCGGATGCGCGGAAATCATTTACAAAATGTTTTGTTGAGAATCTTAATTGATAACTTATGAAAAAAAAATTACTCCAAAAATTTTGTATAATTTTATTGAATATTTTTGCAGTTATAGTAAGAAAACGCGGGTTAAAAAAAATTACGTTTTTTTAAAAAAAAATATTTAAAACTATTCATATCTTCATGAATATTTAAGCAAGGTCGACGAAATTTTGTGCAGTTATTGCCTATGATAATCAACGTAATTGGCACAAGTTACGTACTTATCGCTATTTTTTTGGCATAAGGCAAAAGCATTTTATTTTTCGTTCGTAATTTATTGCCGTTCAACCAAACCTCTAAAAGCTTTTAACTTTATTGATATGCATGAGAAATCGCGTGGCCTAAGCATATCAAACACTTCTCTTCCCAAATATTTGAAATATTTCTTCAGAAATGTGCAAAAAATAAGTAAATATGCAAGTGTTTCCATCATTTTCTCTAATCCCGACCCTGGTAAAACACATACAGATCTGTAAATCTTCACCAACATCGAATGATAATGAGTAGGAATGTCGTCAAAATAGAATTTTTTCTCATCTTCACCAACATCGAATGATAATGAGTAGGAATGGCGTCAAAATAGAATTTTTTCTCATAACATGATTAACTGTAAAAAAAATGAAAAATAATTCAATTCTTTCTACTAAAGGCATCGAATAACAAATTATAAATACGTATCTCTTATTTCAAACAAATAGAATGCAGTTTCATCTTTCATTATATGAAAATTTAAGAACGTAAAAAAAATAATAAATTAAAAAAAAAAAGCGGTTTCCGTTAATATTTAGAGGTTGCTGCTTAATGCTGTTTATTTTTTAAATTTAAATAATTCTCTAAATCCACCATGAAGGCAATTAAAAATTTTCTAAATTATGTTAAGTTTTAGAGAAAATAATTTATAGTGCATTTGCTATATAATTGTTTTTATAAATAAAATATTTTTAATAATGTATTTTATTTTATAACCGTCGTTGAACAGCCTACACAATTTTTGTGTTTACCACTACTAATGTTCAACGCTGTAGCCTTGTAATTTTGAATCCAATCCAGACAAGGGAACACCTGGATCAAGTATTGGGAGCTATTTGCCTTCGTGGAGGACTTTTTGAGGGAACTAACCCGCATTTGCGTTACATGGAGAGGAAGAGCACGAGAATCTCCCACGGTTAGCATGACGCCAAGGGGACTTTAACCCTTGATCCGTCTACCACTGAGGATATTTCAGCTCAGCACTGTGGTCAGTGCAAGCCGTATGCGGAAGGGACCGACCAGTCTTCGCTGGGATTCGAACCCGGTACACCTCATTGCAAAGCGAACACTCATTGAGACATCGCGGCTCTTTTAATAATTTAATAAAAATACTCACTTATAAATAAGGAAAAATGGAAATTGCATAAAATGAAAAAGAAAAAAAATATTATATAGAGTGTTCGGTTAAAGCCGCACTTTGTATTTTTTAGAATTCTTATGAAAAATGAGAAAGAAATATACACATGGGGGTCGCAAAATAATATTTGAGAGAAAAAACAAAACTGCAACGAAATATGACAAGTCACAGCGGAGGATGGCAGATGTAATGAACATCAAAACAGGGTTAATTGTGTTTCGAATAATTCTTTTTCAAACTTTTCTGTATCCTCCCATAATCAAACCTGTCTTGTGTGTTACTTTCTACACTCTGCACTGGGATTTGTTAGATTTTGATAGAATTTTTTTTTTTTTATCGTCGGTTAAATGTTGATTTGCGACCCTCAATGTGCATACTTTTATTTCATTTTTAATAAATATTTTAAAAATACGTATGAAGAGTTGTTTTTATCGAACACTCTGCATACAATGGTAAGTCCTATGCGAAAAATACATGTCAGATCGAAAAAAATAAAATGATTTTTTTGGTATTTTTTAGAGAAAATTTAATTACACCAAATTCAACATTCACTCCCTAGAGCTGGGGTGACTTCTAGTGGGTAGAGCCTAGTTTTGGGAAGGGGTTGAGTCATTAGATAGGAGTCTAAAACTATCTATTTTTTTTCTATCTGACATGTATTTCAAGATATCGCTATTTTAAACGAACATCTTTATTTTGCTCTTACAACGCCATCTATAAAACTCAAAATGTGTAGCGAATATATTTAGGAGGACCGTAACTCGGCTCACTATTTTCATAGTCAAGAATCCAAATCCGTTTAAGAAACGTATGTTTATTCAGAAAAAAATCGTGTATTTTCAGTTTGTTTTTATTTATGAGCAATGATTCAGGCACTACAATGTTTTAAAGATTTTAAACAACTAATTCCATCATAGTAAAATTAATATCACTGATTTATTTTCATATTTCATTTCTTAAAATAGTTTAAAAAAAGTTTCAACTAAAGCTTTTAAACGAAAGTTTCAACAGGATTTTAAAGTTTCAACCAGAGACAGAGAAACCCTGCTGTTCTATCTTATTTCCAACTTCCTCATATTAATAAAATTTCTTAAGTTTTTTAAAAACAAAAAAGCAAATTTTAGAAGTTTGGAGCTATGAACAATTCTTTTTAACAAAACAAATTTTTCCGGTGACGATGTATAAACTTTTTTACAAAGTAAGATGCTTTAAACACCCACTCAATATTTTCCTCTAGGGCAGGGTTTCTTAACCTGTGGTCCATGGACCCTTTAGGGGTCCATGGGTCAAATTTTGGGGGTCCGCCGACTACTCCTAATTTTTAAAATGTTTAGAAGCCTTCTCATTGCTTGTAAAGTGAGCTGTGGCAGCTAGAATTCCGTTTGCTACAGTGTATCTTTGCGAAGGAGGATTTTCCACGCTTGTGACAATAAAAACAAAACATCAAAATCGATTGAATGTTGAACATGATATGCGCATTGCTTTGTTGCAAACCTTTCCTCAATTCAATTTATTAATTAAGGAAAAGCAGCAACAACCTTCACATTAAAAATATTTATTTTTAACATTTTGTATACTATTAAAATAATAAAATTATATGTCTACTAATAATTGATGTTTTTTGCAATTATTTTTTTCACTGGGGGGTGGTTCGTGACTTCTTAAAATTTTTAAAAGGGGTCCATTCTACCAAAAAGGTTAAGAAACACTGCTCTAGGGTCACGTATAGTGCGAAAAAGGAGTACTCTGAATAACTTTTGATCTAATGATGGGATTTTCACGTATTAACTCCTTAATAGTTAGAGATTCGATCCTAAAATATGCTAATTAATTATAGTGTAGACCAGGGATGGGCAAACTTTTCTGGTCGAGGGCCAAAAATCGAAGAAAAAAATTTTTGGTGGGCTAAATAAAAACATCTAAAATAAAAAAAAATTCTATATGCAATTTTCAATGTAAGTATTTAATGAGATGAATGAAATTGCGATTTCATTTTTAAAAGTTCCTTATATTAAGGTTCCAAGTGAGATGTACTTATTTTAAGGAACAAGGGTAAACTACTTCTAGGTAACTACTTCTGAAAAGATTTTTTCTCAGGTTTGTAGATGAAAACACTTGTTCATACATAAATAAAAGGAAGCAAACATAGACCTGATTTTCTAGGCATGAAATATTTGGGAAACTAGCTTTTGGTAATGATTTGTAAAACTCAATTTTTGGCATATTCAGAAACAATTGCTTCAGATGGCACCAATCTACGGCTATTCTAT